CGCCCCCCAGTGCCAGGGCCCCCCATACCTGAGGGGCTGGGAGGGGGCGACGCTGGCCGAGGCAGGCGGGCAGGCGCCGGGAGCGCGGGAACAGGTCGCCGCCGCGTCCGGGCACCTCTTGGTGCTGCCCCCAGAGGCCGGCGCCGGGGCCTGGCCTCGGTCCTCGCCGACCGCGCGGGGGAGCCGGGGTGCCCCTCGGGGTTCCTGCGGTCACGGGGTCGGGGAGGGGCGAGATGCTGGCCCAGCCTCGCCCTTAACCCGGGGCTCTGCACACACCCGGCTTGACACGTGGGGCAGGAAGGACCAGGCCAGACCTCCGTACGCCACGAGGGCCCTTTTTATTTCATTTATTCAAACAAATGTTTATTGAGCATCTATCGTGTGCCAGGTGCGATGGAGTCCGTGATAGCCCAGACAAGCTGACCTTAGGGTGGCGCAGAAAACTAGGGTCATCAGTGCAAAAGCTCCCAAGTGGTGAGAAGTGCTACGGAAGAAAAAGATGGAAACGTGATTTGTAAAAGACGCGGGGGCGGGGGGCTCGGGGAAGTGGTGAAGCAGGGAACCCCACTGCAGATGGGGTGTTTAGGGAGGGCTTCCCTGGGGACATGACACTTGATTGGCACAGAGGGGGGAAGACTGTGAGTCTGCGAAGAGAGGGAACAGCAGCGCGAAGGCCCTGCGGTGGCGAGCGGCTCGCTGTCCGGGGCAGGGACGGCGGGAAGACCGGCGGGGCGCAGGCCACACCCGGCCTTGGGGCTGGGGGAGACCCCTGGATCTTACTGTGTGATGGGAAGCAGGGTGTGGGCAGGATCCGATGGAGGATTTGGGGAAACCTGGCCCCTGTGAAGACCTGGCACCAGGAGCCCCACTTGGAGGCTTTCTCAACTGGACAGGAGATGGAGGCGGGTCGGGTGGGCAAGAGTACTGGACTGGGAATTAGACTTGGAGTATATCCAGATGGCCCCAGCGGGCCCTGCCTCTTCTCTGGACCTCAGCTGCTTCATGTAAAACGAGGCAGGGCAGGGCAGGTGGGACAACAGGACCAGGGCTAAGCGTCCTCCCTTTCGATCCCTTGCCCATCCCAAAGCATTCCTCAAAGGCCACCTCTTTCAGGAGAGATTACCTGAAGAGGGGGGTAAAGGAAGGGGGACATATTTTCTGAGAGCTATTTGTCAGGCTCCAGGTTAGGTGTTGGTTTTATTGGGATTTTTTTTCGCATCCCCATATACATCTCTGAACCTGACTAGGGCCAGGAGTTAGACTCATTTCTAGATTCTCGTCATTCGATGCTACACAAGACAGACAAGGTCTTGGAGGTAGGGGGACAGATAGGAAGGAAGCAAATGAAAGCCCACATAGCTAGAGGAATCTTATGAGAAAAGGAATCAGGATGACAGGATTGAGGGAGTTCGTGTGGGGGGCAGGCCCCAGGGCGCCACTGCCCAATGGGACCCCATGAGTCTGCTCAGGGTGTGCCCCACAGAGAGGGAGCCCAAAGAGAGGGCAGGATCGCCGGGAGATAAAGTCAAAGAGGTCAGCAGGGTCTGGAGGCTGCAGGACATGGGGGCAGGTCCACTCAAGGACAGCAAAGAGCTCGGGTTCACCTCCTCAAAGCTGCCCTGGCTGCCTCTAAGGGGAGGAAGAGCTGGACTGAACATGGGGGAGGAGAAGGCCGCGGCAGGGCCAAGTGGCAGGTGGCTGTCCAGAGTGGCCCGTCTTTGTGACCAGCCGCCCAGTGCGGCCATCACGTCCCGCTCTTCAGGCCCCTCAGATAATGGCCGTTAGGGAGCCGTTGGTCTGGCTTGAGGTCTCACCTCCGCCTCATTGCAGCAGGAAACTTCCAGAGCACTTGTTAACCAGTTCTTGACCAGTTCAGGATCCTCAAACTGGACGAGCAAGTAACAGAAATAAAATTCTCTGGGCCTTGCAAAGATTACAGGCTTTCTGCCAGACTTTCCAAAGGTGTTACAATCCTGTGGGGTCCCTTGGCTGCTCTGTTAGGAGGCCTAGTAGGCTCAGTGCACACTTTTTGAGTTGTGACACGTGTAGGGACAGTACTGTGACAGGAAGCACAAGCCTCATGGCCAGACCTAAGATTTGAATCCCACCCATCTCATTCATTCAACAAATATTTATTGAGGGCCTACTATGTGCCAGACCCTATGCAGCAGTGAGTTAGACAGGGTCCCTGCTCTTGTGGGGACTCCAGGCAGCAGACAGGATAATCTCAGCCAAGTACAGAGACTGCCTGGGAGCAGGAGGGGCCACTTGCAATGGGGTAAACAGCAAATGCTTTGCCATCTTTTCCTGGCCGTTATCATTGGGGACATTACCCAACGTCCTTGAAGCCTCAGTTTCCTCATCTGGACAATGGAGGTAGAAATACACCCACTCCACCCCACCCCCCTGCCCTGGAATGTTCAATTCCTGGCCAGCGTGGTACTTGAGCAGGGGCCAGGCTGCTCTCCCACCCATTAGGGCTTTCAGTTCTTCCCCAGGAAGAGGGTGTCCACAAACTGAGTCTGCTTGTAAGAAAGGGAGATAAAGCCAAGATTCCCTTGTCTGCACCTCAGCAGCAGGGATCGTGATGCAGCGGCGGCCAAAGCAGGCGTGTGCTTGATGGCACAGGAGGGGGAAGGAGGTGGTTTCTCCGTCTGTCAGGTTTTGTCCTGGTTGTCCGGAGCCCCCTCCCGGAATGGTCTTTCCATCCTGCCGTCCCAGCTCCTTGGGCCTCACACCGAGGCTTCTGGAGAAGAGATGTCAAGTCCTACCACAGGTCAGAGGTGGCCTTGTCCACCTCAGGAAGCCAAGCCTACCCCCAGAGGCGGCACTTCCCAAAGGGGCAGAAGCAAGGCCCAGCCGGGCCATGCTCCCCCTCGGAGGGGGGTGGGAGCCCCAACACTGGGCCTGGACACCCCTGCAGCCCATGGAGAGGACGCCCCCTGAAGGCTTCCGCCTGGGAGCTACCCGCCTCTCCTCCCAGGCCTTGCCTCCCAAACGCGACTGGCCCGGCTCCTCCGAGCTTCTCTCCACGGTCCCCACCCAAGGGCGGGGCCTGGAGAAGCCATTTCCCAGCTTCCACGGCTCAGTCCCTCCTCCTAATAACCCTCAGGCCTCGAGCAAGCTCCCAGCACCTGCACCCCGCCCTTTTCCAAGCCCCCGGAACCCCAGGGCGGGGGAGTCAGGGCTCTGGGGAGCCGCAGGGCCCAAGGCGGCCAGGCAGGCAGACGGGCGGCTTAGGCCTGCGACGGGATGAAGTTAGAAGCGCCGGCAGGGGGCAGGCGCGGGACTCGGCCACGGCAGTGGGGGGCGGGGGGCCGCGGGGACGCCAGGGCGAAATGGGGCCCGGGGGAGGCACACATTCACACGCCGGGCTGCAAAACACGAAAAGGAAGAAAACCAATTCCTGAGGCTGAGCGCCCCGCGCCGCCCGCCCCGTGGTGGCACCGGTGCAAGGAAACGGGCCCCAGGTGGGGCCACAGGGCACGGCAGGAGGAAACGGGGCGGGGATGAAGAGGGGGTACGGGGAAGGGCTGGCTCGGAGGACGGCCGGGCCATGGCCACCAGGAGTTAACTCTCTTTGACAGAGAAACCGCTCACAGACGAATCTCCTAGGTCTTTCTGGGCTAGCGGAAAAGGGTAGTCACGGAGGCAGGAAATAGCGCTGCACGCCCATCCCCGGGGCCGCTTCGGTAACCGCGGGACACGGCGGGGAGTGGGGCCGCAGCCGCGCGGGGCACCGAGGGCCCGGGGTTTTGTTTCCGCTCCGCTTCCTTCTACACCGTGGGGGCTTAGACCACGAATGACTTTACTGAGAAAAGCCTCGAGTGGGCTTTTGAAGAAATGAGGCAAACGAAGGCGTGGGCAAGAGCAGCGCGCTCTGCTGCAGGGCCCGCCAGCGGGGCCCACTCCCTGCTCGGCCCAGCAGCCCTCGCAGCCCCGGCAGGAGCGACAGAGACGGCGGAGGCTCAGGGCCTCAGGGCCGGGCGGCTTCAAACTCCGATCATCCTCCACCCTCCTCCCTTTTGTGGGCCTCATCTCTAGGTTGAGGATTCTCACTGGGCACTCCAGGTCCCCAGGTGCCTGGGGTGAAACCCTGCCCTGAGGCTGCACGCAGACGTGTGCACGTGGGCCTGCCGTCCCTTCGGCCTTAATGCAGTTTGAGAGAACAAGGCGCTTCACGCTGAGCGCCCTCCCACAAAGGTCTGGTTTCTTCCCCCAAGGGCGCTCCTTACCTCCATTCGCAAGACAATCGCATGGGAGCCCTCCGCGGACTGGGTTTGCTGCTGCCCTAAGCCTGGGCCGCCTGCGGTTGGGAACCTGCCCCTGGCCTGCCCCATTCTCCTCGCAGAGTTGGGGCCCAGCTCCTCCTTCCGGACCCTCCCAGACTGGAGGGCCCAGCCAGCTACCTCCAAGTGAGGCCTCCGGGAACTCTAAGCTCTCTCCGTCCACATGTTTCGCACCCTTTCCGCCTCAGCATCGACTTGTCCACTCCTTAGATCTCAGGCCGCTTTGCCAGGGTTCTTCAGACCCTCTGTCCCCTCAGAGCCCACTGCACAGCCACAGGGGGCCAGGGGCCAGGGCCCCTAAGAACGTCCCCATTCGGGGCTTCACAATACACATTTGCATCTTTTTTTTTTAATTTTTTTATTTATTTTTATTTATTTATTTTATGATAGTCACAGAGAGAGAGAGAGAGGCAGAGAAATAGGGAGAAGCATGCTCCATGCACCGGGAGCCCGACGTGGGATTCGATCCCAGGTCTCCAGAATTGCCCCCGGGCCAAAGGCAGGCACCAAACCGCTGCACGACCCAGGGATCCCCCTACACATTTGCATCTTAAAGGCAACCTTCCCCAAGGTCTTGCCTGGTGAATTTCCCTTTGTCTCCCCTTAAATGCTGAAAAATACTTAATGCCTCTCTATTTACATTTTAAATCCCAAATTGGGCCCCATCACCCACCCCCCACCCCCCCCACCCACCCCCCACCCCCCGTCCAGGCCTAGGATGAAGCCAACCTCTCGGTTTAAAACACATTTTGGGGAGACACTCTTGGCCCTCAACTGTTACCCTCAGCAGTTAACAGCCAACGGGTCCTCCCTGGTGAGGTGCCCTCAGCAGCAGGGCCTCTGAACCCGGTCCCTGAGGCTGGTGACACCCACCCAGGCCTTCTGAAACCCTCCCATGCGGAGGGGCCTCCGCTTGAGCTCTAGAACGGATATCCCCTGTACAGGTAACCCCGAGGCCAGCAGAGGCAGAGGAGCCCACCCAGAGTCTAGGGTTCTACATCCTAGGCCCAGACTTGCCACTGGGCCAGGCCGACTCCTCTGTTTCGTGTCTCATCCTCCAGGAAGGTTGTATTCTTGTGGGTCTTCCCTTCTCTTGACTTGTCCTCTGTTCAGAAGTCCAGACTCAGGCTGCCAGAGCTGGAGGGCACGGCACACATCCAACCCCTTTTCACAAACTGGGACACTAAGGGCAGAGTAGTGTAGGGGGAGCGGGGGGCCACACGTGGAGTTTGTGGGAGTGCCAGGGTCCAAGCGCAGCCGGGAGCTCCTGTGACTCCCAGCCCACCTTCCTGTTGCAGAAGCAGGCAAACCTGTCCTGGCTCCAGGCAGCAGTGAGCAGGGGCAGCAGCCCGGCAGGGTGTACCCAGGGCTGGGGTCTGGCGGGGAGCAAGGCCCACCCAATGTTCTTCTTACTAAGCACCCGGTACACACGTAAACAGACCCAAGACGGTGGGATGATGATGATGATAGTGGGCAGCCTGGGCGGCTCAGCAGTTTAACGCCGCCTTCGGCCAGGGCCTGATCCTGGAGATCCGGGTTGGAGTCCCATGATCGAGTCCCGGGACGGGCTCCCTGCATGGGGCCTGCTTCTCCCTCTGCCTCCCTCTCTCTCTCTCTCTCATGAAAAAAAAAAATCTTAAAAAAAAAATGATGATGATAGTAAGTGCTATGAAGGAAATCAAGTAGGGCGCTGTGATTACAGGAACTCTGAGAGGTATGCAGCCTGGCTGCCTAGGCGGCTACGTGGGGAGGCTCTCAAGGATGGAGATGGGAATCAGTGTAGTCAGCCGCACAGCAGGTGCAAAGACCCTGAGGCGGAACGCCCTGGGTCTGTGTGAGGAAAGAAATGGCCAGTGGGGCTGAGAGCAGACTCCTCCTAAATCTGATGACAGCCACAGGAGGCCCTTCCGCAGAGGTGGGATGCAGATCAGAGTCCTGTGTTAGCCGCTCCATCTGCTGCTGCGTGCCAGCAGTGTGCCAGGGCCCGGCAAGCCGAGAGGGGACAGGTGGAGACGGTGTGGGGCTCGGGGAGGATGTTTGCGGATAGATGTGACAGGAATCTGTAGGTTGAATGAGAGGGTAGAGGGAAAAAATGAGGACAAGTCTGTGCTTTGGGTTAGAACTGCCCTGGAAACCTTGGGGAGGAGCAGATTTGCGAGAGAAAAGAGTTCTGTTTTAGCCATCACCCGAGAGATGTGTTTGGACATCCAGGTGGAGTTGGGGGCAAGCAGCTGGCTGCCAGTCCGTCGGTCAGAAGAGAGACAGAAATGAGGGTTGACATTAATGGGTGTCATCAGTATATGGATGGTGTTTGGAGCCCCAGGACTGGAAGACTCCCCTAGGGAGAGAGGACCCACATGCCCACACTGATTCTGCCTTCAGCTTAACTCCAAGACTGGCCTGGTGCTGGGGGGATGAGGGAAGGGGGTCACCCTTCTAGGCCCTGGCCACTTCCAGATTTTATCATTTTTCATTTGTTACTTGAGGCCTTCCCCACCTATGTTTCCTGGGAAGGGTGCCAGGAGGCTGCTGGGAGCGTGGGATTTGAGAAGCATCCCTGAAGACTGGCAGGACCCCAGGCCTAGAATCCTGGCTAACTGGACAAAGCCACTGTCCTCTGTCCTCCAAGCCTGTTTTCCTCATCTGTTTCATGAGGCCAGTGGAATGAAACCACTTGGTCTCTGCTAGTTCCCAAGGCCCTGGAATCAGTCTCCCAGAGCTTGGTCCACAGGCCCAGAGGCAGAACCCCCTCCCCCCCCACAAAAGCACCTGCTCCACCAGCAGGCCAAGGAGCCCGAGCCACACTGCCCTGCCTGCATGTGTCCACTCCCTCCACTGATTCCTTCTCCCCTCCAGTCACCAACCACCAGGCCTCCCCCAGGGCTAGAGAACCTTCCCGCTGCCCCACAATGGCCACACTCCCCAAACTGACCAGGTGCTGGGAGTCTGGCTCATCCGCAGGGGTGATGGTTTTAGGCCCCATTATTTCTGCCCCCACCCAGGGTAAATCTTCAGATTTTTTTAAGGGAAAGCTGAAATCTGGACACGTTTTTATCTGAAATCACTTGAATTTTCAATCCTATTTGTTTGTTTCGTTTCATTTTTGTTTTTAAAACACTGGGCAAAAACAGGCAGATTCTAGCCAGAGGGTCTTGGAAGCTGCAAGCCTGCCAGGCTCTCCAGCTCTGCTGAACCTGTCCACTCTGCTGATCCATCTATCCACTTTCTGAATGGGCTGCATTGTGACAGACCAGCCCTTCTTTCTTGAAACTCTCTCCTCCTTAGCTTCCGAGACACCAGCCACACCTGATTCCCTCCTTACTTTCTGACGTTCCTCCTCTGCCTCCCACAGAGCAACCTTCCCTTTCCTACCATTTCCACATCCTCCTCTTCCCTGCACCATGACCCCAGGAAGACAGGAAGACACCCCTGACCCAGCCTCCTGCTGAACCAGCTCCAGATTCACATTTCCAGCGACCTTCTCTCCGGGATGGCTGGACCAATATCAGTCTGAGGGTGCCCTTGCTCCCATGCAGGGGTTCCATCAGGGACATCACCATCTGCTACTGCTCTGACCTTTCTGAGACCAAGCTCAAGTCCCCCCCAACCCCCCTACCCCCCACCCCCCACCCCACCCCCGCCAGTCACCTGGCTGCCTGCCCTCCAGCTAGGTCCTTGGGCCAGCTCTCTTCCTGGTGTTCCTGCCCCAGCTCCAAGCACCCTGGTCCACTGCAGCGGGGCGGCCATACCCACCTCCCTGCCAGGTCCTCTGCTCAGTCTCAGATGGCTTCTGTTCCTGGACAGAACCTCCTCCGCGGCTGCAGCAGCTCCATCTTACTACTTCTCTTTCACTGCACTACATCCTCTGTGTAGCCCTGCATGCACACACTTGCATTTCCAGAACCTGTGGTTCTCTCCGCAAGACCTTTCAGCTCCCCAGGGCCGCCCCCAGGGTTCAGCCAACAGGACTTCCAGGAACTCACCCCAATCTCTGCTAGGAGATTCCTGATGGTCTTTTCTCACCTTGCGGGAGGTCTCAGGCCTGCAAGGTTTTCCATGGCTCGAGGTCCACTTAGGGTCCTTCCTGGGAGAGAGGCTTGGCCTTCTTTGCACGGACCTGAGCTTATCTTTCCTCTCCTATGGGTTGTACTCACTGCGGGGGGGGGGGGGGGGGCTGAAGACCTCCCCTGCCTCCAGGCCACTGGCTCCTCTCCCCCGCAAAAAATCTCCACCCCCCGTCTCACTGGTTCATAGCCTCAATTTTCTCCTCTCCTGGGTCTTATTCACTAGCTTGTCGGAGGGCAGATGGGGTCTGTGCCTGCTTTGGAAAAGGGGTGCCCACTGACAGGGACCTCTTGGGGTAGAAGGCCCAGAACATCTCCCCTCCCCCCCTTCTCGGACTTCACGGCCTCCACCTCTCTCCACCCCGAACTCCAATTTTCTACCGTCCCCTCCCATCCACTCTTCCATGCTCGGCCTAAAATCACTTACCCCGAAGGAATCAGCTCTCCCTCCGGGGTGTCTCCCCATGGATGCAGCTTCCCCAAGTAGAGGCATCTTTCACTTCGTGAAATGCCTTCCGGCGCCTCCAGGGCACCAGTCACGCTGGATCCCGCCCATATCAGAGCCTCCAGACTTGCACAAGCCCCCGCGGGGGACTTCGCCTGGTACCGGGAGAGAGGGAGCTGGGAAAGCAGTCTCCAGGCCCGGCTCGCAATCGCCCTCCCCGCACGCGGGGGGAGGGGTGCGGCCCAGCACCTCCCCTCCCCCATCACGTCGGAGAACTCCTTGGGGGGTCGCAGCCTGACACTCAACCGGCTCCACCGTGGAACCGCCATTTGGCTTTGGGGCGAACGGTGGCGGCCACTTGCGCACCACAAAATGGGGCATTTGGAGCATCGGCGCCAGTTGGGTGGGGGTGGGGGGAGGTTAAGGAATGTCCGCAGGGAGACACCTGCAGTGGCCCCCACGTCCTCCCGGGCCGTGCTCAGGCCCCTTGGCATAGCAGGACCCCGGGCGCGCAGTCGGAGGGCGCCTCCAGCCGCCGGCCCCTCGGACTCGGGTGGAGACCCCCCTCGAAGATGTCCTAGCACACTTCACATTGCCCCAGCCGACCACGTGAGGGCGTGCCCTGTGTTAGTTCGGACAAATTAAAGCTCGTCCTGCGGGCAGGCCAGGGCCCCCCAGACCGCGCTCAGGGCATGGGCGGCCGTGGCGCACTCTTGGCCGCCGGCCGCAAAGCTCCGGGCCGCGTGGCCTCCCCCGGAGCCCGCGCTATTCGCCCCTAAACCGGGTGCCCCCCTCCACTCGCGCTCCCGCAGCATAGGGTGCGCCCCTCCGTTCCCCTTTGCCGAGCCCTTCCCGGGCGCAGGCCGCCCCTCCGCTGCGCCGCAGGCTCGGGCCCTGTCCGGGGCGCTCGGCCGTGGGCTCGGGGGCGCCCGGGAGGCGCGCTCCGGGAAGCCAGCGGCCGAGGAAGGGGCTCCAAGAAGCACAAGTTGGCGCTGGCTCCAGACCAGGCTGTTGTTGTTCTCAACGTGGTCCGCCACGGAGCTATAAAAGCGGAGCGCAGCGCCCTCCTCGCCAGAGCGCAGCGCGCACGCCCAGCGAGCTCCGGCAGCGGCTTCCGCGGCGCGCCCCCGGCCGACCTGCCCCCGCTCCGGCCGGCGCCCGGCTCCGACCCCCTCCGCCCCGACCCTCTCCGCTCCGCCTTCGGCTCCGGCTCCGGCCCCGGCCCCGGCCCCGCCCCGGCTCCGGCCCCGGCCTCGGGACCCCCGCTCCGGCCGGCTCGGCCCCCGCCCCAGCCCTGCCGCCCGGCCCCAGGCCCGGCCGCGGCCGCTCCCGCCTGGAGCCGCCGCGCGCCCCCAGTCCCCCGGCGCCCCCTCGGCCCCTCGCCTTCCTCTTCCCGGCGCGGCCCCCGGGCTTTCGCGCCCCGCCCGCCACCAACCCGCTCGCCACCATGTCCGTGGAGCTCGAGGAGGCCCTGCCGCTGACGACCGCCGAGGGGGCGGCCAAGAAGGCGGCCAAGGCCGGCGGCTCGGCCGCACTGTCCCCGTCCAAGAAGAAAAAGAACAACAAGAAGAAGAACCAGCCGGGCAAGTACAGCCAGCTGGTGGTGGAGACCATCCGCAGGCTGGGGGAGCGCAACGGCTCGTCGCTGGCCAAGATCTACACCGAGGCCAAGAAGGTGGCGTGGTTCGACCAGCAGAACGGGCGCACCTACCTCAAGTACTCCATCAAGGCGCTGGTGCAGAACGACACGCTCCTGCAGGTGAAGGGCACCGGCGCCAACGGCTCGTTCAAGCTCAACCGCAAGAAGCTGGAGGGCGGCAGCGAGCGGCGCGGAGCCACGGCGGCCGCCACCGCCCCGGCGCCCGCCGCGCACAAGGCCAAGAAGGCGGCCCCGGGCCCGCCCGGCCCCCGGCGCGCGGACAAGAAGCCGCCCAAGGGCCCGAAGGCCGAGAAGCGCTCGCACAAGAAGGGCGCCGCCTCCAAGAAGGACAAAGGCAGCAAGGCTAAGAAGGCGGCGGCCGCCGGGGGCAAGAAGGTGAAGAAGGCGGCCAAGCCCAGCGTCCCCAAGGTGCCCAAGGGCCGCAAGTGAGCGCGCGACGCTCGGTTTTCTACCCAAGTGTATGTAGGTTTTGTACGGATGCCGCCGCCCCTCCTCTGAGCCGCGCGGAGGGCCCCGGGCCCGCGCTCCATCCCCTCCCCGCCCCTCCCCCGCCGCCCTAGCGGTGGTTTTTTTTTTTTTTTCTTGTTGTTTTTCCTTTAGATTTTTGAAACGGCCTGGCGACGCCACTATTGGCTCTCGCCCTTGGCAACGGCCGTCGTCATGGTTACCGGCCCCTCGGCGCCAATGGCCGCGACCGCGCCTGCCCCGCCCGGTCCGGGTACTCTGGGGGACCTTCTTCTCACTCCCCACCCTCCGCCTTTGGGTGCGCGACACACAATCGCTCGGGGCGCGGCCCGCGCGGCCTTCCCTTCATCCCGCCGGCCTTTTTGGGGCACAATAAATTGTTTAAACCTTTGAACCGCTCTCGTTTCCTTCCGAGTGGAGTAGGGATGGGCGCGGTCGGCGCGCGCTGGGGGTCGGATGGTGGGTCCCTAGGGCCCTGGGCGCCCGGGATGTGTGCGAGGTGGGCCTGGAGCCCGGAGTGCCCCGTCGGGGGTGGTAACTGCAGGGGCCTGGGGCCGACCGGCTGATCCTGGAGGGACCCTCGAGGGACGGATCTCCTGGGAACGGAGGTGGAGACAGGTTGAAGACCCGCGGGTCCGGGGCTGGGGGAGGGGGGACGGGGCAGCCCGGGCTCTTCCGGGTTTGCTGGCCTGGGCCCCTCAACACGTACAAGGTCACACCAGGCTAGGCATTTGCACAGGTTAGTTCTTCTGAACTCACGGAGACTGGGTTGATGCAACAGGACATTGGAAATGAGGCCTCGGGCCCCGGCTCACTAAGTACGACCCTAGGTGTGGCTTGAGCCAGGTGCTGATCCTCAGCTCACTGGCTGCTCCGGGGTGTACATGGTCGAGGGTTATTGGACAAGTTGGAAGGATGGGGATCCCTGGGAGGCGCAGTGGTTTGGTTCCTGCCTTTGGCCCAGGGCGTGATCCTGGGGACCTGGGGTCGAGTCCCACATCGGGCTCCCGGTGCATGGAGCCTGCTTCTCCCTCTGCCTGTGTCTCTGCCTTTCTCTCTCTCTCACTGTGTGCCTATCATAAATAAATAAAAATTTAAAAAAAGTATTAAAAGTTGGAAGGATGACCCTCAGCCCTGAGACACCCTGGCGTCCAGTACATGTAATGGTTGTATTTAAGACCAAGTGAGCCCTTGACAGATGTTCCTATGAGGACAACCCTGCAAAAGGAAGGCTCTGGGGCAGTGGGAAGCTAGGGAATGTTCCAGAAGAGTGGGTATGTGCATGTACCAAGCTAGGTAAGCCTGGGCTGGGGGTAGGTGACAGATGGAGATGATCTCTGGGTTAGAGACTATGCGTGGGGGGAAGGGGAAGGAGCATCACTAGAAAAGCCCCTCTGGCCTGCTGGTGTCCCTGACCCTGGCCTGGCAGCCACTAGCCTCCCCCAGCACAGATGGTGGGGTCACAGGGCAAAGCTTCAGCCACTCACCACCCTGCAGACCTTCCACACAGGGCAAGTGGCCAATCCACGGGCTCTTTCAGTTTAAAAGTCTTGCTGGGTCCCCGAGCTGCCTCCTGTCTCTGGGAGCTGCTTCCCACCCTGGGCTGGGCTATGAGGGGGGCACAGTGGCGGGCGGAACAGCACAGGTGCCTGCCCTGCCAGTGGAGAACACAAGTCCTAGATGGTCCCTCGGCACATCATTGCTCTCTAGGCGGGAGGTTTGAGAACAAGATGAAACACCCCCCTACCCCCACATCCGCAGTACAGACACCTGTGTCTGATGGCAGCAGGGGGCAGGGCTGCCACTGATAGTTTTCTAGGACCCAAACCACTCTACCCTCAGGCCGTGTGGCTCTGGGGATTGGACTCTCCAGGCCAGGGATGGTCATGTGACTGGAGACCTGACCAATGAGTGTTCCGTTGTCCCCTTTGTCACAACCATTGGGTCAGAAATAGGTTCTTGACCCCAGTGAGTTCAGTGAGAGTCAATCCTGGGACTCTTCCCGGAGCTGTAGACAAAGAGGTGCTCTCTCCCCCAGGTGGGGATGTGGGGCCAGAATTGCAGCCATCTTTGTCAATATACTGTGAGAGCCCATCTGAAAAAGGAGCCAAGACAGAAAGTTGGAACCACAAAATGGAGAAACAGATACTTGAGGACATTAACAGAGCTTCTGGATCCAGCCATGCCTGAAGCTGGTGTGAACCTGCCTCCTGAGCTGATACTTTGCTTTTTATGTCGGCTCACTTGAATTGGTTTTGTCATTTGCAATCTGGTCTCACTCTGTTGACTCACTTTACCCTCCCATGCTCCCAATGGACCTTGTCATTCCTTTAAATTGTTCTTCCGAAAGGACTGCCCCAGTGTCCCACTGTCTACCCACAGGCCCCTGCCCTCCTCTCGGGGTGCTCCCTAGGCCCTTCAGCTGGCCCCTCTGTGTGGGTCCCACCTCTCTGCCCTACACCCCAAGAAGAAGAATGGATGGCCGTGACCTGCCCCATATGGAGACTTGGTGTATACCAGGTGCTCTAAGGAAGGCTGCACGGGCCGCCCTTCAGCCTTGGGACAGCCCCAGCAAAGACGGGGTTCAAAAGCTTGTCTTGCTAGTCTGGTGCTGAGACTGGAAGGCTGTATTTTCTGCCCTGACCCCACACTCCACTCCTACACAGGGCTGGGGAGCCCAGGACCCACCGTTGACCTACTGTGTCTCTTAGACCTCACTTCCAGGAGCCCCGTGAGGCTCTGGAGAAGGGCTTCCTGTGCAGGGGGTGACCCCAGTGCCATGAGGAAGCAAAGGACCACATGTATTTGCTTGTCTGTAAAATAGGGGCTTAGCAATGGCCCCAGCCTCCTCTCTGTACTCCCTGACCAGGAGGGGAGGGACTTGGGCAGGAACAGGTCTCTGGAGGCCTAGGTCAGCATCCTGGGTCCGGTCCACCATGGATTTTGGTCCACGCAAGCTTCTTGTTCCCACGCCTCCGCTTCCTTATCTCTAAATGGAGCCAGGAAAGATTTCTTTTACTCACCCATCAGCTAAGCTGGGAGAGGGTGGACACACCTCCAATCAGGGGCTGCAGCTTTTCCCGCCTCCAGCCCTCGCATCCCCAGTGTAGCCACTCTCCTGTGCCCCTGCCTGCCGCCTCTGGTGGGGCTGGGACCTGTGTCCCTGCAAACCTCCTCAGCTCTCAGGTTTACCTCCTGGGTCTTTGGCTTGACTCTTCCCAGGCCCCAGGACAGCCCTGAAGACTGGAAAGGCCTCTTTCCAGGCTCTGCAGGACTTAGCGACCCATGCACTGGGGGCTCCACCCAGCGGACTCCAGTAGACTAACCCAATTGAACTGGTCCCTCTGGCAGGGCAAGGCCTAGTGCTGAGCACGAAATCAGATGGGGTTGGGGGGCTCAAGCACTCAGCACAAGGGGTGCTTGCCATCCCTCTGTCCCAGGCATCAGACCTTGGGTGATATAGCCAGAGGGCCCTTTAGCCATTCTGGCAGCTCCATTAGTCAGAGGCAGCAGAGAGGCCCTGGGTCTTTCTACAGCGAGCACTACTGAGGCCACTGGCACTTGCACAGCGGGCCATTGATCCTTACAGAGGTACTGAGGGAACAGGAGGGCTCTATGGCCCAGTCCACAGGTACTCATCAGCACACACTGGATGAACAGAGGCAGGGACAGGGACCCATCAGACCTGCTTCCTGTTCTTGGGGAGGATGCACAGGAGGACAGAGAAGCCAGCAGCTTTAGGGTAGGACCATCCAGGCTGGAGCACCAGCACAGGCCCCCAGGATGGCCAACACTCCTGAGCCTGGAGAATGGCGAAGGTGGCACGTACACTGACCAGGCACGAGGCAGGAAGAGTCAGCAGGGCTTCAGGTTCCCCTCTGAGAGTTCAGTGGAGCAGCAGAACCACAGGGGAACTGGCACATACACACACCTGCCACTGGCTGCACACTTGAGGGGCTAATGAACCAGTTCCTGAAGACTGGATTTCCATGGTGGAGGCTGAAGTCTGAGACCCCCAGGCATACAACCTGGGTCAGTGAAACAGAAGGAGAATCCAGGGAAAATGGAGTCATTGGTGCTGTTTCACACTAAGGACGTAAATCAGCTGATCAGCAACCAAAATGGTGGTTTCCTTCCAAATCTGGCAAGAATTGAGCTTGTGGCCCACCCTGCGGAAAACCTGTGAGTAAGGGAGTTGTGGGAGATGTAGTTTTCAGCCTGGCCAAGCTGACACACTCCACTGCCACCACGTTTCCCTGTTACAGAACAGGCACATGTGAGAGGGTGAGGAGGAACTGGCCCAGAGGTCTCAAACATAAATGAGCACAGGCACCAGGCCAGGTAGGGCAGACTTGCCAACCAGGGGACACAGACCCCACCTGAAGGGGAGGCAGTGACTACCAGTTCTGCGAACTGCTTCCTATTTTCTCAGAAAGTGTCAGAAGCACCTCCTGAAAATGTGTCTACATCCCCTTCCAGAGGCAGGGAGTGGCTTGGGCCATCCAGGGGGCAGAGGAGGGTGCAGCTGCCTGCTAGTGGTCCCACAAGGGGCTCCATTTCAGAAGCACTTCTTGAGAATTTATGTAGAAACCATACTTTTTGGGGGGCTGAAACCCACTTGTAAAATGAGAGCTTAAAAAAAATACCCCAGGGGCAGCCCCGGTGGCGCAGCGGTTTAGCGCCGCCTGCAGCCCAGGGCGTGATCTGGAGACCCTGGATGGAGCCTGCTTCTCCCTCTGCCTGTGTCTCTGCCTCTCTCTCCCTCTCTGCATCTCTATGAATAAATAAATAAAATCTTTTAAAAAAAAAGAATATTTTAGAAAAAAAAATACCCCACCTCACAACCATCAGGACAACTACTATTTTAAAAAATCACAAGTGGGGATCCCTGGGTGGCGCAGCGGTTTGGCGCCCGCCTTTGGTCCAGGGCACGATTCTGGAGACCTGGGATCGAATCCCACGTCAGGCTCCCGGTGCATGGAGCCTGCTTCTCCCTCTGCTTGTGTCTCTGCCTCTCTCTCTCTCTATCTGTGTGACTGTCCTAAATAAATAAAATTAAAAAAAAAAAGTTTAAAAAAAAAATCACAAGTGGTGGCAAGAACGTGGAGACAGACATAACCCTTATACGCTGTCAGTAGGAATGTGAGATGGTGCAGCCACTGGGGGGAAACACTATGGAGGTGTCTCAAAAAATTAAAGAATTATTATATCATCCAGTAGTTTTACTTCTGGACACATGCCCGAAAGAATGGCAAGTATCAACTCAAAGAGATTTGTACACCCATGTTCATAGCATTGTTCACAGTAACCAAGAGGTGGAAGCACCACACATGTCTGTCAATATGGACAAACAAAATGTGGCATCTCCATATGATGATTAGCCCGTCTTAAAGAGAGAAAGAAGTCTGATACACACTAGAACATGAAGGAAGCTTGAGGACACCGTGCTAAGTGCAGTAAACCAGTCACAAAAAGACAAATACTGTATGATCTCGATTACATGAAATATCTAGGACACTGAAAATCATAGACAGAAAACCTGGTGGTTGCCAGGCCCTGGGTGGGGTAGACAGAAATGGGACTTGTTTAATGGACAGAATTTTAGTTTTGTAAGATGAAAACGTCCTGGAGATCCGTTGCACAACAATGTGAATATATGTAATGCTACAGAACTGTGCACTTAAAAATGGTTAAGATGGTAAGTTTTATGTCATGTATTTTATCACAACTGAAAACACTATACAAGCCAAACAAAACCATGTGTGAGCTCAGTGGGGCCTGCAGCTCCCCACCTTTTGAGGTCACTCAACTTGATCTTCTATGAGGGCCCTTCCAGCTGCTTCACAAGACAAGAAACCCGAATGGTGATGTTCTGGTGGCAAGAAACGAGGCCAAAGGAAGCTCTAAAGTGGTGAAAGCGAGACCCAGCCTGCCAGTACTGTGGGTCGGCACCAAGGGTCACAACCTCTCCCCAGAGGGTTGTCATTAGGATTTCTGAGCCTTGTGAGTGCACCCTGCAGATACACACTTCCAGAGGCCCCTTTTTTGCCCACCTCACCTTGGCTCTCCTAGCTCCTGTCCTTCTTCTGGAAGCTTCTGTTAGGGGCCGGGAGTGTGGCACTGGGGCCCTGCCTCAGCCTGACTGTCCTTGAAAACTTTTTGTTCAGCTTGATTGTCCAACTCCTTTCACTGATACTCCCAGCTCCGCCAAATAGTCCTCTGGCCTCTGTGGCCCACAGGAGCACTGCCTGGGAAGTCTGCAGTATACCTCTCCTCCCAGGAGTCCTGGATGCAAGGGGAGATCCTCATCTATCTCTTCAGAGGGGCATCAGCCCAGAGGTAGATTCTGGTCTCACAACAATGAGATCTGTTTCTCTGGGCTCTTAGGAGTTCGACTGTGAGTACCCACTGTCCTGATTCACAGATGGGCAAATCAAGTCTCTGAGGAGCCAAAGTACTTGGTCAATTTTTCTTATACTGGGGACCCTGCCATACAACCTGAGCCAAAGCTCCTTTCTCCAAGGAATGACCTTCCACCCTTCCTACCACTTGCTTCTTGCTCTGGCTGAGAAGGGGGAGGGAGGAGGTTCAGGCCCAGTGGGGATTTAGGAGTCTGAGGCCTCCCATTATTCTCAGGTTCTCACCACCAATCCCCCCTCTAGGTGTTCCCAACAGCAAACAGGAGCTTGTCCAGACTCTAAGCTTAAACACCCCTCCCAGGCTAGGAGCCCTTTAGATTTGTCCTCAACTTAATGCCTAGCTTTGTGTCCTTAGCCAAGCCCCTCCCTTCCTCCCTTGCTTGAATTTGTTCTGCCTCTGTAGGAAGCAGGTTGGGCTTTAGGAACACAGGCTTTGCACTAGGAGATGGATCTTGATGGACTGGAGACAGGAGCAGAGGAGGCGGGCTGGGGGGGTGGGGGGGTGGCGGAGTGGTAGAGTGGGCAGATACCTGTCTATTAGGACCTGGAACAGAGGACCCTCCCCTCCTCTAAGGCTACAGAGGAGCAAGGAATCTCCTAAGGCCTGGACCCAAGCCTGGTCACTGCACAGGCTGATCAGGGGCAAGAGGGGCTTGCTATCTGGGAGCCCAGCCAAGGGGCCAGACAGCCATGTTTGAGGCCTGTCCCACCTATTCGGGGAAACCGTTGGGGCCCTGGCCTGACCTGGCCACGTCGAATGGCAGGTGAAGGCTGCCCTGTTTGTCTCTGAGATCTGTTCTTTAAAAACAAAGGATAGGAGGAGATGCTCCACTGCTCTAATAAGCAAACTAAGTATTGAAAGGTGGGATTCACGTGTCCCTGAAATAAGTGAAAATTTGGAGCAATTTGGCAATACCTATTAAAGCTGGATGACCCAGCTAAGAAAAAAAAATGCAAGGGGAGATGCCCAAAATGATACCATTTCCAAAAACCTGAAAAATCACAAAATATGTTTTCAGGTTCAAGAATGTGCTTTTTTGTTTGTTTGAAGAATGTGCTTTTAACATCCCATTTATGTGCAAGTAAAAACTGAATGAAAAGGATACACACCCCTGAGGACATGCTGTCCTTTCCTGTTACAGTGATTTACAACCCTGACAAACGGTAGAGACAGCAATGAAAAACAAAGGGAATTTCACTTTTGTTGCTTATTAAATTCGAAGCATTATGGCAACATAATCATAACAGTCAACCTTCTGGTAAGTTATCTGTATTTTTAAATCTCTTGGTAATACTAACAACTCAGTAAGCCCAAACAAACATGGAGGCCGCTGTGAAAAGGCTCCCACCTCCAGGGCTCAGGGAGCTGGGGCCCGACCCACCACAGCCCACCCCGCCCCTCGCGGGAAGGCGGGCGCTCCACAGAGGAATCCGGAGAGCAGGGAAGGAGACCCCGGGCTGGCCCCGCCCCCAGGCACCCTGGGAGGCGCGCCGCGCACTCCCATTAGCGAACAGCGCGAGAGCGCCCCTCTGATTGGTGGACACTGCGATCCTTGATTTGCATAGGGCTTCGGGCTCTCACCCTGCCCGCTGCGGGCTGCGTCTGCGCAGCCTGCTCCAGAGGAGCCCTGCCCCGCCCCCGCCAGCCTGTGCATCCCCTCTTCCCCGGAGCCCTGCTGAAACCTTCCCTTTTGGGTGCGGGTGTGGTTATTCCTATTCTGCCCGTACAGAGCAGGGCACGTAGGAAGTGCTCGCAGTCACCTAACAAGTAGTTACACGTCCGTCTGTTAACGGTGAAGCAGTGGCCTCTGCTTTCAGAGAACTAATGGGCAGGGTGCGGAGAGGACAACAGATAACCATTCCAAGTAAGGGTTCAGTGCCAAGGAGGAGCCTGCAAAAGCAAATCACAGGGGCTCTGGCCAGCGCCCTTGGCAGCCCAGGTCACCCTCTGTGTCCTGCTCTGCCCAGAGGCTGGGAATCTGGGTGGAGCTTAGTGGGCTGTGACTGGAGCTTCTCAGCCAGACCCTATGGTCCCTGTGGTCAGGACAGGGCCTTGACCTCTGTGTCCCATTCTCTGCCCAGCTTTGTGTTTAGCAACCACTCAGCTTGGTTTTTAGCTAAAGGATTCACAAAACTTCCAAGTATTAAGAGTGAACAGTGCCTCAACGAAGACACCCTCACCACACACACACACACACACACACACACACAGACACACACACACACACACTGAGCCTTTTTGCGGTTTCCAAAAAAGCAGCTTTGTCCACAAAAAGCCCCAGGGCTCCATATTTGTGACAAAATCCATTCCTGGGGACTGATGCCAGGAGAAAACAGTAAGATCCAGAACTTCCCCTGCCAGCAGCATTTTCTGAAATGTAGACAGTATCAAATATAATTTATTAAGAGAAAAATACAATGTTTTAAGAACTTAATTCCAAAAGGCTGACAGAACCCAAAAGCTGAGCAGAAAACAGCCTTCTGTGAGCAGTAACAGGTCAGGCTGAGAACCACACGGGGTCTAGCTTGGAGAGAAGGCTCCACCAGCCACACACCAGGTATAAAGGCCCCTATGAATTACTGATGGTGGGCGGTCCCTCCTCTGCCCAGGCTGCCATCTGCTCCACTGTGGGTTCCTAGTTGCAGCCAGGAAAGCTATCCACTCATGAATCCACAACTGTCAAGCAATACTGCTATCTCATCCCAAAGCAAATCCACACACATAATAAGCAACAAAATTGAGTACAGCGAATCACAGTCTTGGTCTCTCAAAGTCCCTGATACTGGCTGTGAGGCCGCTTGGCTACAGGCTCCTCTTCCTTCTCCTGCTTCAGCCATCGCTCCAGGAGTCCTGCACTTCCTCTCTTGGTGGGGAATGGGCTCTTTTGTAGGAACTGGCTGGACCACTGGGGCACATCTGACTCTGCCTTTTGGGGTGTTTTGGACTCTTCTTTTTTGGGTGACTTTGTGGCCAGCCACTTCATCATCTTCTGGCTACTACCACTTGCCTTGAGATCCTAGAAGAAAGAGGAAAATGCTCAAACCACCCAGCTTAAGCTTTTGGGAAAAGGCCAACTGCAAGGGAAGAAATTAGAGAAGAGGCATTAGGTACTGACCCAGCCTTGGAAGAGGTTACTGAGAGCCAGACTGGGCCCAGTGGTCAGGAGTGGGGAGAAGGGAGGAGCAACTGAGTATGCTCCAAGAAGTGCAAGGAGTAGGGAGTGGCTCTTACAGCAGGCCTCAGATGAACTGTGTGGGACCAGTCAGAAAAGAGCTGATGGGCAATCCAAATAGGTGTAGAGAAAGAAGCATTCTCAGGGAAGAGGGTATATTCAGTGTGCCCAGGCTAAGTGTGGGGATATCAAACTGGAGATGTATGGCTTCAAGCAGTCACCATGATTAAGGATTCAGCTAAGGCTGAACAGGCTGACCTGTTTTCCCACTGTGCAGCCTCTCCTCGACTGGCACTGCTTCCCCCCTCCAGCTCTTACACTTGCACCTCAACCCTAAACTGAAGGTTTTATATTCATTTAAATGCCACCTCTCCAGAATGAGAATTCTTCAGGGGTAAAGACCATGGCAGAAATGGGGCAGTATCTAGTACAAAATGAATGTGTATCATTACATTTTTAGAGACCTCTAGGGAATAGAGGGATCAGGATTGCAGGAGTTTGCAGAGAACTGAGACAAAAGAAAAAAGATGACACTGTGTATTGAAAACTTAGAAACTTTCAGAAAAATGAGGTGTAGTAGCTATTTTGTAATCATTGTCCTTAACACTTCTCAGGCATTCTAAGATGTCTATTCTTGAACACTCAGAGCCATGTCCTACTTAAGTCCTGGAAACAACTGCTATTCCCAAACCTTTGCTCTGGAGCTTTTGTTCCCACTGGAGGTCTCTGGCCTGTTCACCTCCCCTTCAGAATATAACTATTCTTTCCAATTCTGAAAAGTTAAAGTTCATGGCAAGAATGTTCTCAAATCCTCCTGAAAGAGTATAAGGATTGGAACTCCTCCAACTTGTAGCTGGGAAAACAAAGGTACAGAAAAGAGACAGAAAAAAATTCCACAGTTGTAGACAAAGATACAATTGCCGACAAGGGCTCCTTTGTCTTTCTTAAAATCACCCTCCAGATTAGTAGGAGTCCTCAAATTTGGCTTATCAGATTCGCTTAATGACACAGAAGCCCAAGCCCAGCCCTGAATACTGACTCAATAGGTCTAGATAGAGTCCAACATTTATATCTTGAAAGAGTTCTCCTGAGGAGTCTGAGTCATAGCCAGATTTGAGAATAGTGCTCTGCTCCATCTTACCATACATAAAGAAATGTGAGTCTTGGGTGGTTTAGATTAAAGCTAATTGTGAAAGGCCATATTCTAACTGAAAAAGCTATCCTGGCAGAAGACAGAAAGCTCAGAAAGGACTATCAGAGTCACAGGCCCTTACCTTTTTGACCAATAGGTTGACAGGAGCAAGACATTTAGGAGTGTTGTTTCGGGAGTTGTTCACCACGGAAGAGACTGGATGGAAGGTGATGTTCTCTGTGGGGTGGATTAACTTCAGAGCTTCCTGAGTTGAGACCTCACCAAAGTTAAGCCATTTAGAGACTTCTTCCTCTCCATCTAATATGGCAGGCATCCTAGCCAGTGAGGTAGAGACATTGGTTAGGAGGTAGAGAGAGGGTAGGGAGACAGAAGGAAGACTTGAGTCAGCACAAATCATCCTAAGGATAAACTTGTCCTCTTTTTACACCTCATGTGCTGATCTGAGGCCATGTGCTCCCTGACCACAACTAGATAGGGAACAACATTCAACCCTTGGGAGCTAGCTTACAAAGTTTATGGCAAAGACAGTGAATAGTGCTATGACAGGATCCAGTGCATCCCAGTGTACTAGCTAACCAACTGGTGAACATTCTGTGATGACTCAGATGCCTAAGATTAAAGGGAAATTAAAGGGAAAATTTGTCTATCAGTAATAATCTCTAGATTTACAGTAAGAAAGAGCTATTCACATAATCGTGAACTACCAGAAACTATGCCTCAGAAAGCAAGGATGCTGCCTAAGATGACTCCTGATATCTACCCATGGAAATGTTAGGAAAAGACCCTGTGTTTAGCTTCCAGTTTTATGTCCTAGACCAAGGGAAAGCATGCTGCACATTCACTGGTGGAACACTTGATTTTAGGAGATATATGCATAAACATCTATTTTAATAATTATTATAACTTCAACAAATCAAACGTCTACTTTCAAAAATACTTTAGAATTGGGACATCTGATCTGAGTGGCTGTTGGTTAAACGTCGACTCTCAATTTTGGCTCAGGTCATGATCTCAGGGTTGTGAGATGGAGACCCACGTCAGGCTCTGCACTCAGTGGGGAGTCAGCTTGAGATTCTCTTCCTCTGTCCCTCCCCCTTCTTGCTAGCTCCCTCTCTGAAATAAATAAATCTTAAAAAAAATTTAGTCTGTGAAATCCAGATGCATTTTCTGATGAATGGCATCTCTGCATTGTATTATAGTTTAACTGGAAGTAAATGGGAGCACTTAACTTTTCTTAACAGTGTATAAAATAATGTATTAAAAAAAATGAATGGGAATTTATTATTTTTTTAAAAGATCTTATTTATTTATTCATGAGAGACAGAGAGAGAGGCCAATGTGGGACTCAATCCTACGACCCCGGGATCACGACCTGAGCTGAAGGCAGACGCTCAACCACTGAGCCACCCAGGCATCCCAGAATTTATCGTAAATTAGTGAGAAATACAACCACTATATCATATGAAAGTATAATTTCACAATGAATACTTAGGACAAGGCTAAAATAGATAATCCTATCATGTGCAGCACTACATTCTTTTCAGCAAAACATCAAGTATCACTTCTGAGGGCACCTGGATCTGGCAAAACCTGTTAGTGATAGACAGTCAATTCTACTAATGTTTGTTTTTAAAATGTGATCTGTTCCAATGTGACTGACATATTAGAGAGCAATTTCAGCATAATGTAAATTTCTTGTTTACTTTAGTTTTGTCTGTGGGAAACGTGAGGTGAATAGACAGCTGCATCCAGTTGAATGGAACCTTGTAGGAACACACAGAAATACCTCAAATATTGACAGCTACTGCAGCTCACTGTATGTTATCTTCCAAAGTTATGTTTTGCTCTTATTTTGCATTTGTTGAATATATTCTCCCTATATTAAAAAAAAACCCTTCATCCAACATCTCAAATATGCCTAATAAGCTTTGTAGTTCAAAACATGCAAAGGAGTACGTGTAAGTAGAAAATTTTTTGACTACTGATGAGAAGCTTGAACTATTAGAGCGTCCTGAAAAAAAGAGAACGTGTGCTATCTCTTTAGCAGCAAACATAAACAAAAACCTGCAAGCTCTCACAAGTTTTATTTATACTTAAAGGCCTGGATGGCTTCGTGGTTTCAAACAGTGATTAAATTTCCAAAACTTTCAGTGTCAGGAGAAGACATTAGAATGGATGAAAATGCTGCTAAAGAATTTTCAGGGGGATCCCTGGGTGGCTCAGCGTTTAGCTCCTGCCTTTGGCCTGGGGCGTGATCCTGGAGTTTTGGGATTGAGTCCCACGTTGGGCTCCCAGCATGGAGCCTACTTCTCCCTCTGCCAGTGTCTCTGCACCCCCCACCCTCTCTATGTCTATCATGAATAAATAAATAAAATATTTAAAAAATAAAGAATTTTCAGCAGTTAATACAGAAGTTAATTGCACGAGGGGGCTATATACACTGGATTAAAAAGTTCAATTTTGATTAAATATGTATTTATTATAAACGCAGGCCCTGAAGAACAACATTTCTTTTTTTAACTCTGAGATCATGACCTGAGACTAAGGCAGACACTTAACTGAAATGAGCTACCCAGGCACCCCCTGAAGGAACATTTCAAAGGCAGAAAAACTTGCCCCAGGACTTAAGGCCGCAAAGATCCTACATTTTGCCTAATTTTCCCTCCACTTCACAATAGCTCATAAGTTACAACTACTCCGACACTCATTTTCCACAAGCAAATTCTGCAACTTTCTAAGGTAAAGTGCCATATTTAATGTAATATCTATGTAGATAACTGTGGAACTGTTAATAAATTCCTATTATTTTTTAATGTGTTCCTGATGAATTTTTAGGCATTGTCGTTTTAACCCATACTTTTCTCATATGTCCTTGGGTTTTCACTGTACAGTTTGGCATAGTGTGGGGACTTTTTTTTCATATTATAGCCAAACTCCACAAAGCAACTGCTACTCTAAATTTCTGCATACATAGAAACATTGAATCCAAAGCTACCCATCTAAAAGCAGAGGACAAATCCTCTTCTGAATGCTTTTGGACCTAGGTATTAGAACTGTAACTTGCCTAGGGTGAATGTCATTCAAGCTTTTGCAGGAATCTACTGTGATGATGGTGTAGGAATACAGGAGGTCTCCTTCTGGGGACTCCCAGCAGTCAAAGATCCCCGCCATTGTCAGCAGCCTCCAGTTGTCCCAGACTTTCTCCCAGTACTCAGAACTGTCCACAGCACCAATGCTACCTGACTGGAAAAAAATACATGGGCAGATTAGATACTCAGCAGCCCCCTCCTACACACAGGCTGGGTACTACCACAGACTTAACATAGCAATCATTTTAGAAGTACTTTAGCCCATGTGTTAGCTCCTCTTGATCCACTATTGCTAAAAGAAAGAGGTTTGATGGCAAGAACCCAGTGAAGCTATGGATTTATGGCTCCTTAATGCTTTCAGAATACAATCCAACATCATCAATGGGCATTCAGGCATTCCATGATCTGGCCCATCATTCCAGCTTTTACTATTTTTTTGGTCTTTAAAAAAATATATTTATTTATTTGACAGAGAGAAGAGAGTGTGAGCACAAGCAGGGAGAGCTGCAGCAGGAGAGGGAGAAGCAGATTCCCCACTGAGCCCGCCACAGGGCTCAATCCCAATCATGACCTGAGCTGAAGGCAGATACTTAACTGATTGAACCACCCAGGTGCCCTTTTAACAACAATTTTAATTTGAGCCAAACCCAGCTGTTTGTAAATAAAGCCCTTGTACAATTTCATGCCCTTGTATCTTGCCAGAGCAACTTCTTCTGCCCAAAATGTCCTGCCATTTCTCATCATGCCAGCTCCTACCTAACATTTAAGATTCAGTTCAAGACCTAGAACTTAGAAAGCTGGAAAGAGTACCCCCTCGGGATCCCTGGGTGGCGCAGCGGTTTGGCGCCTGCCTTTGGCCCAGGGCGCGATCCTGGAGACCAGGGATCGAGTCCCACATCAGGCTCCCGGTGCATGGAGCCTGCCTCTCCCTCTGCCTGTGTGTCTCTCTCTCTCTCTCTGTGACTATCATAAATAAAAAAAGAGTACCCCCTCTAACAATAAGAAAAAAGCTAGATAATCTACAAAAGTCATAACTTTCTTTCATTTTATTATTATTTTTTTTATTTATTTATGATAGTCACACACACACACACACAGAGAGAGAGAGAGAGAGAGAGAGAGAGAGAGAGAGGCAGAGACACAGGCAGAGGGAGAAGCAGGCTCCATGCACCGGGAGCCCGACGTGGGATTCGATCCCTGGTCTCCAGGATCGCGCCCTGGGCCAAAGGCAGGCGCCAAACCGCTGCGCCACCCAGGGATCCCTTTTTATTTTATTATTTTATTTTTTATGTTCAAGCCCCATATGGAGCCCAACACGGGGCTTGAATCTATGAACCTAAGATCCAGATCTGAGCTGCTATTAAGAGTTGGACACTTAACCAACTGAGCCACCTAGGGTGCCCAAAAATAGTAACTCCTTAAACTCATCAGAAAATAGGTCACTGGGCAACCAATTGGCATAAACTTTATGGAAAGAGAGGGGCTTCCAAGGGAAGATGAAACATAAGTACTGGCTTACTGGAGGCAACAGGAGGAAAGCAAGGCCTTCATTCAGGTAAAATTATCACCAAATTGCTAAAAACAGTGTATGGGCTAGCCTGAGAGTCCAGAACCCCTGGGAGCTGCAGACATTAGGGGAGTTTACATCAGTTTACAGAACTCTTCTCCATGAACCTCTCCAGCTGCTCACAAGAAAGACAGGGGCAGAGCAGGAAACCAGAGAAAGCCTTTCTTGCTGGTTCATGCCTAGAGGAGGGAGGCCTCACTCTCTTACACCAAGGAAAGGCATGAAGCCTCACCCAATCACTTCTCCTCTAAGGAGCAAAAGCCTTAAGGGGCCAGGGTATAGGTAATAAAGCCTGTTGCCCGTAAGATACAGGTAAGGCCCACTGAGTCTGGGGAAGGGTAGAAGATCCCTCCTACTCCCCTGGGGAAGCAGCAGGATTCCCGAGAAAGCCTGAGCCTGACACCAAGGGCCACAGATCTGTTGAGACTGAGGATGTATGAAGACAAGAAAGAACACTCTCCCACCTTTTAGATCAGCAAGTACCACATGAACAGCAACAGAAGCCTAATTCTGGGGAAGGGGCAAGAGCATAGAGATCCTCTCGAAAGCACAGGCTTAAAGGGAGGTACTATAGTTGAAGGAAGCAGGACTACTGAGAAAAACCCTCTGGAAGATTACTCTTACCCTGAACACAAAATGGCATGGAGAAATTTAAACCCTGTAGTGAATAAAGGTAATTTTTTTTTAAAGATTTTATTTATTTATTCATAGAGACAGACAGACAGAGAGAGAGAGAGAGGGGCAGGCAGAGACACAGGCAGAGGGAGAAGCAGGCACCATACAGAGAGCCTGACGTGGGACTCGATTCCAGGTCTCCAGGATCATGCCCTGGGCTGCAGGCGGCGCTAAAGCGCTGCACCACAGGGGCTGCCCGAATAAAGGTAATTGTAACAACAAAACCAGTTTAGCTCCTGATAAAATCGACTCAATCTCACACATTTATGGCCTATTAGAAGAATAAATGTATCCATTTCCAGATGTAATTATCTCAGTCTCTGGCAATCAAAAATTTTAAGACTGGGCAGCCCCAGTGGCGCAGCGGTTTAGTGCCACCTGCGGCCCGGGGTGTGATCCTGGAGACCCAGGATCCAGTCCCACATCGGGCTCCCTGCATGGACCCTGCTTCTCCCTCTGCCTGTGTCTCTGCTTCTCTGTCTCTGTGTCTCTCATGAAGAAATAAAACCTTAAAAAAAAAAAAAAAAAAAAAGGACTGGAAAAATTCTAGTCATTATTTAAAAAACAAAAAAACCACACACACACAAAAAATACCAAAACCAAAAGCAGATGCTCAATCACTGAGCCACCCAGGCATCCCCACTACTATATAGTTTTTAAAATTAATGAATTAATTAATTCATGAGACACACAGAGAGAGAGAGAGAGAGACAGACAGACAGACAAGAGAAGCAGGTTCCATGCAGGGAGCCTGATGTGGGACTCGATCCCAGGACCGCAGGATCATGCCCTGAGTCAAAGGCAGGTGCTCAATTGCTGAGCTACCCAGGCATCCCCACTATACAGTTTAAAAGGGTGAATTTTATGATATGTAACTTACTTCTCATAAAGAAAATTATGATGATTAAAAAAATGAACTAGATAGTTTCTTGGACAAAAATAGAATTCATTACCAATAGGCCTGAACTACAAGAAGTATTAAAGGAGTTCTTTAGACTGAAGGAATAGGATACCAGATAGAAACTTGGATCTACCCAAAAAAGTAAAGATCCATGGAAATGGCTAAAAATTAAGGTAAATGTAATACTTATTTTTTATCACTATAAAATAATTGTCTAAAGCAAAATAGTAGCAATGTATTGTGAGTTTATAGCATATGAAAAAGTAAACTGTATGACAATATACCAAAAGATAGGATTCAGAAATGCACTATTATAAAATTCTTACACTATTCAAGAAGCAGTTTATTCTCTGCAGACTTTTTTTGAAAGATTTTATTTATTTATTCATGAGAGAGAGAGGCAGAGACAATGTTCAATGGGCTGAAGGCGGCGCTAAACCACTAAGCCACTGGGGCTGTCCTCAGATACATTCTGATAGGTAAGAAAAACTGGACAGAATTGAGAAAGTGCCATCCTACTTAATCCACACAAGTGCCTAACAGTCTCTCAAGAAGAGTGCCAGAGGGAAAGACTCTGAAAAGATATATAATTCCTAAAAACAGAAAAGCTAAGCACTAGAATCCTGGAGTGGTGCCCTCAAGAAAGAAGCCACAGAATTCCGACTTACTGCTAATTTATTTATTTACTTAAATATTTTATTATTATTTTTTAAAGTAGGCTCCATCCTGGTGATCAAGTCTCAGATCAAGACTGAGCTGAGAGCAAGTGACTAAGCCACGAAGCACACCTAAAGGATTTTATTTTTAAGTAATCTCTGCACTTAAAGTAGGGCTCGAACTTACAACCCTGAGATCAAGAGTCACATGCTCCCTTGACTAAGCCAGCCAGAGGCCACCAATAATTCCCAATTTTTAAAAAATTTAAATTCAATTAGCCAACATATAGTACATCATTAGTTTCAGATGCAGAGTTCAGTAATTCACCAGTTGCATATAACACCCAGTGCTCGGGATGCTTGCGTGGCTCAGCAGTTGAGCAGCTGCCTTCCGCTCAGGTCATGATGCTGGAGTCTGGGATCGATTCCTGCATTGGATTCCTTGCGGGGAGCCTGCTTCTCCCTCTGCTTATGTCTCTGTCTCTCTTTCTCTGTATCTCTTTCATGAATAAATAAATAAATCTTAAAAACAAAACAAAACAAAACCACACCCAGTGCTCATCACATCATGTGCCCTCCTTAATGCCCATGGCCCAGTTACCCCATCCCCCCACCCACAATAATTCCCAATTTTAACAAAGCAAACTAGTGAGAATGCAAAGGCTTTAGCAACACCAAAGCAACAAATGTGATTAAAATGAAAACATGATACTGGTATGTCTGATTTGTTTTTAATTTCCTTATAATGGGGGTCCCTGGGTGGCTGAGTTGGTCAAGCAGCCGCCTTCAGCTTGGGTCATGATCTTGGGGTCCTGGGATTGAGCCCCACATTGGGCTCCCTGCTTAGTGGGGAGTCTGCTTCTCCTTTTCTCCTTCTGCTGCTCCCTCTGCTTGTGCTCTCTCACTTGTATTCTCTCTTAAATAAATAAAATCTTTAAAAAACCTTTTCCTTAAAATGTTATGTGAACAGCCTAATTTTTTTGTCTTAAAATGGGAGTTCTATGAGGGAAATGCTAAATATAATCACCATGTGACCTAGCAAATCTACCTCTAGGCATAAACCCAAGAGAAATTATAACATATATTCATATGAAAACTTGTACATGAATGTCCACGTAGCAATATTTGTAAGAGTCAAAAGTAGAAACAACTGGTGAATGAATAAACAAAACGTGGCCTATCCATATAATGGACGAGCAATAAATGAGCAATGAAGCAGTGACATGGATCAACACTGAAAACATTATACTGAGTAAAAGAAGCCAGATACAAAAGACTATATATTGTAGAAGTCTAAATATATTAAATGTCCAATATAGGCAAATCTACAGAGACCAAAAGATTAGTGGCTGTCAGGGCTGGGGAGAATACAGCATGGACACTGACAGTTAAAGGACATGGGGTTTCTTTCTGGGGTGATGAAAATGTAAAATTAGCAGCGATGGTTGCACAACTCTGAATATACTAAAAAATCACTGACTTGCATACTTTAAAAAGGTGAATTTTATGGTGAATTATACCTCAATAAAGCAGTTATTTGAAAAGAAATTCTATGAAGAAAGAAACAAAGTGTGCCTCTTTGGATTAGCTACTATTGACAATACCTTTTCTGTTTTGGCTTGGGGGAAGTAGATGAAGTATGGCTGTCTTTCACTAGTAACCTGACATCGCTGCCACTCGTAGAATCCATCTGCTAAAACAACACAGCGTCTTCCCTTTCCAAGAGGAACCTGAGGGAAAATGTGAGCAAAATACAGTTTTAGTGAGAGAATGTCATGGGCTTGAGTTGAAATCTCAGGTCCACCAATGTAGGACCTTAGGGCAGTTATTTCTGTCCCTCACTTTTCCTATGCATAAAGTCACCATTCACACAGCTTTTGAAAAGATTAAATAATGTACTACAGCCTCAGCTGCACTTAATTTTAATGCATGAGGGGTGCCTGGGTGGCTCAGTGGTTGAGTGTCTGCCTTAGGCTCAGGTCATGATCCCGGGGTCCTGGGATTGAGTCCCGCATCAGGCTCCCTGCAAGGGAGGCTGCTTCTCTGCTTCTCTGTCATAAATGGATAAATAAAACCTTAAAAAAAAAGTAAGTGCATGAGAACCTCCAAATGAAAGCTGTCTACCTGGGGGGAGAGGAAACTGTCTAGCTGGACCCATTCAACCTACAGAGGATGAGAAGAAATAATAGTTTTGTTTCAAACCATTAAGTTTTGGGATGACTTACACAGTAATATATATAATAGCACTCAACATTATTAGCAACTGGGAACACACTTTCCAGGAGAATCTTATTTCTTGGGTATATAAGGCATTAATAGCTCTGTTGGAAGAAAGAACAGAATATGCGCATTTTCCATAGACCTGTGACCTACCTTAAAGGAACGTTTCTCCATCATGGTATCACTACGACAGTTGGTAATGTTGAATGGCAGTTTGGAAGGATCACTCTCTTTGAACCATGATGGGACCAATCCCCACCTCATGGGAGCAATGATACGCTCAGATGAATCTGCACCCTGCCATGAGAAAAGATAAGATCCAGTGAGGAGATCATAATGAAATTTAGAAAACCAATGGCTCAGCGGTTGAGTGTCTGCCTTCACTTCAGGGTGTGATCCCAGAGTTCCAGGATTGAGTCCCACATCGGGCTCCCCACAAAGAGCCTGCTTCTCCCTCTTCCTGGGTCTCTACCTCTGTCTCTCATGAACAAATAAATAAAATCTTAAAAAAAAAAAAACCATAAAAACAAATGTAATGGGGAATCCCTGGGTGGCTCAACGGTTTGGCGCCTGCCTTTGGCCTGGGATGCGATCCTGGAGTCCCGGGATCAAGTCTCACGTCGGGCTCCTGCATGGAGCCTGCTTCTCCCTCTGTCTGTGTCTCTGCCTCTCTCTATGTCTATCATGAATAAATAAATAAATCTTAAAAAAAAAAAACAAACAAATGTAGCACATGCATTATATTACTATTAGCATAAAAATACAAAAAATACAGAGATTATTAAAAGGGAAAGATTCGATTTGAAAACAATTTTAATGATTTATCACAATGTGAGTAACTTAAGTTCTTCAGCATTTATTAGAATGTAAGACATACTACTTGGGTAGGGTGGGACACAGTTTAGTTTCTGGGGCGCCTAGGTGGCTCAGTTAAGCGTCTGCCTTTGGCTCAAGTCATGATCCCAGGGGCCTGGGATGGAGCCCTGTATCAGGCTCTCTGCTCAGTGGGGCATCTGTTTCTCCCTCTCTCTCTGACCCTCCCCCATGCTCATTCTCATTCTCTCTCAAATAAATAAAATCTTTAAAAACACAAAAAACTCTTCAAAGAAGTTTATTTTTTTTTTAAGAGACATACAGAGAGAAGCAGAGACATAAGCAGAGGGAGAAGCAGGCTCCCTGTGAGGAACTTCATGAGGGACTCGATCCCAGGACCTGAGCCAAAGGTAGACAGACACTCAACCACTGAGCCACCCAGGTGCCCAAAGAAGTTTAGTCTCTGTAAATGTTTACTTAGTGCCTCTTATGAGAGTCATAGTACTAGGCCTAGCAGTATGTGGTCCCAGCTCTCAAGAACTACATATCACAGACAATGATAATACAATAAGGTAAATGCTATGATCTAGGGATACACAGGGTGCTGTGGGGCAAATGAAGGAGTGCTTAACCTCAAAAGGATTGCGCTATAACATATAAAGCCACAAAGACAAAAATATTAAAACATGGGAGTGGCAGCAAAGGAGTTCAATGGAGAGTGATCTGTAAGAGATGGAATGGAGAAGTATCAACTCCTCAGAAGGGACAGAAATGACATGGGTGGGGTGGTGTGGTTCTTAAATCAGATCCCACAAGAGGTACAGAATTACACTGAGTGTGGAGCCTCTTAAAAAAAATAAAAACATTAAAAAAATTTATTCATTCATGAGAGACACAGAGACAGGCAGAGACACACAGGCAGAGAGAAAAGCAGGCTCCATGCAGGAAGCCTGATGTGGGACTCGAACCCGGGCCAAGCTGAAGGCAGATGCTCAACTGCTGAGCCACCCAGGCATCCCAAAATAAAAATCTTTAAAAAAAAAAAAGATTTCAGAAAGAAAGAAAGTGTGCAAGTGTGGGGAGGACATAGGGAGAGGGAATCCTCAAGCAGACTCCCCACCGAGCATGGAGTCCAATGCAGGGCTCGATCCCAGGACCAAGATCATGACCCGAGCTGAAATCAAGTCGGTTGCTTAACTAACTGAACCACCCAGGTGCTCCTAAATAAAATCTTTAAAAATAAAATGAAACAAAGCAAAAACAACAAACAATGTTGGGCTTTCAGTTTCTAAGGGGTTGCCCCAGGTAAAAACATTACTACTTTTTCACTGCTGGAGAAGCAACATGCCTGGTGTATCCTCTCACAGAAAGAAGGGAAGATAAGGAAGCCTGTGCATGGATTTTTTTTTCCAGATTCCTACTGGTGTTTCTCCCTTACTGATTCTATTATGTATTTTTTCACTGTAATAAACCTTAGCCATTATATGCCTTGTATGCTGAATCCTTCCTAACGAATCTCCAAATGTGAGGGTACACTTGGCCTCCGACACATCCTTGTCTAACTTTTTTGGGCGGTAATTGGCCCCTTGAGAATCTGATGAAACCTACAGATTATAATATCTGTTTGCATGCACAATTTTTTTTTTTTAGATTTTATTTATTTATTCATGAGAGACACAGAGACACAGAGGGAGAAGCAGACTCCCTGGAAGGAGCCTGATGTGGGACTTGATCCCAGATCCCGGGATCACACCCTGGGCCAAAGGTAGATGCCCAATTGCTAAGCCACCCAGGCGTCCCCCCCTCCCCCGCCCGCTATTCTGTATGTGTACACTATGGGTCGGAAGACACCATGAGCAGAGAGCACATTCTGGGTGCTATCATAATGGTTTAGGGATAAAGATACGGTGGGTCTCATGATGGTAGTAGAATAAAAAACAACAAAAGACATACTAAAAATAAAATTGTGAATGTAAATGTAAAAGAAAACAAGACTGTTTAAATTTTCAAGCCTAGATGACTGAGCTAAAGAGGAAAGTCTGAAGAGGGGCATGATTTGGGGAAAGGTCAGGTGTTGAATTTCAAATGATAACTGGAAGTCTGGAGCAGTTTAAAGAGATGGTTGCAAAATCTTTGATACTCCTCTCATTGACAGGTGAAGGTGAATGTTCCCTCCCCCTGAATCTGGATGGGCCTGTGATTCACTTGTAACCAACATAATGTGGCACAAGTGACACTATATGATTTCTAAGACTAGGTCAGAAAATGTGTGTCAACTTCTTCCTTGCTTATGGAGACATTGCTTCTGAAGCTCTGAGCTGCCAAAGAAGAAATCCAGCCCCCCCTAGAGACTGTCATTCTGCAAGGAAGCCCAGGCTGCATTGTGGATGGCCACCGACTAGCTAGAATTACTAAACCAAACCAAGCTCGGACTTGCATCCCGCATTTACTCATAAGGCTCAGGAGCCCAAAGGGTAAATAGTTGGTTGATGCTTGAGAAAGGGCTTGAGCAATGGTTTCTGGAGCTCGCTTATACGTGATCGCCCACATAATACAATTGATATAATGTGTTCTAGCCTGGTGGTAAAGTTAAATAGGGGTCTGTGCTATTCTTACTGGTCTGTTAATCATATCTATTGTCCTTTTGAAAATGTATGTACCTAGAATAGCATGTTTATCTATTAACTAGGACCCTCCTGTGTCAGTAGGGTCTGTCATGCATGTAGGTATTCCTTTATCTTTGTTCTGCTTGTGCTATATAATATTGTAAGAACCTTGAATAAAGTTGACACTGCTTGGACATCATCCACTGTGTCCCTCCTGTCCCCATCTCTTTACTTTTTTTTTATTTTCCTCATCCCCTTACCCTCAGGACCCTGATCGTGTTGCCGCAGAGTGCGCAACACTGCATGGAGAGGACACATGTAAATGTTCTGGTCAACAGCCTCAACTGATAACCAATGTCAACTGCCAGATAAATGAGTGAAAATGCTTCTAGATCAGAGGTTAGCAAATTTTTCTGTAAAGGCCAGATATTAAGTATTGAAGATTTTGGAGGCCCTGTTGCAATTATAATATAACTATTGTTACAGGGACAAAGCAGCCATAGATAACAGATAAATGAATGATGTTGTTGTGTTCCATAATATTTTATTTATGTAATAGTCAGAGGGCCCTAGTTTTCGGATTCCTGCTCTAGATGATTCTAACCTCAAATGCCAGGCCTTCTCAGCTGACTAAGACTTCAGGGAAGAGACAAACCATATCTGTAATGCCCTGTCCTCATCCCTCACTGGTGAACAAACGTAACAAAAGTCCTTTAAAGTCAGTTGAATAAAATCCAAGTACAGGTGTTTATTATGTCCAAGAAACATTTAGAAATATGGAATTAAAACTTAGGAGAGGGACACCTGGGGGGCTCTGCATGGAGACTGACTCTTTCTATGTCTCTCGTGAATAAATAAATAAAATCTTACACAAACTTAGGAAAGAGGCGGCATGGTACAAAGAATGGGTCAGCAAACTTTCTCTGTGAAAGGCAGATAGTAAATATTTTTGGCTTTGTGAATCCATAGTTTCTGTTGCAATGACTCAAGCAACTCAACTCTACTACCACTGGTATGATGAAAGCAAAGAATGAAGGAGCATAGCTGTGTTCTAATAAAACTTTATTTACAAAAACAGGCAATGGGCTAGATTTGATCTGAGGACCAGTTTGCCAACTGCTGGTATAGAGCAAAGAATAAGGCCTTTGCAAGAAGATCCTTGTTCAAAAATCCTGTCTCTGCTACTTATGAGATTGGACTAGTCTGAACTCCCTGGACCTTCAAATGTCCTTATTGAAAAGTAAAAGTAAAAGTCACCTTATAATAAAAGTAAAGTGAACAATACCTACCTTGCAGGATCATTTAAATGCATGACATGAAATACACAAATTATAGTTCAATATTTTTCTAAGGTTAGAATTAAACAGTAAAATTTTTCTACGTGAAGGTGATTGTTAAAGCCATGAGGATAAAGTTTCTTAGAAAGTACATCAGGGTGTCTGGGTGGCTCAGTTGGTTAAGTGTCCAACTTTTGATTTTGGCTCAGGTCATGATCTCAGTGTTGTGAGATTGAGCCCAGCATAGGGCTTGGTGCTCAGTGGGGAGTCTGCTTGAGATTCTCTCTCTCAGATTGATAAATCAATCTTTTTTAAGATTTTATTTATTCATGAGACACACAAAGAGAGAGAGGCAGAGACACAGGCAGAGGGAGAAGCAGGCCCCATGCACCGGGAGTTCGATGTGGGATTCGATCCCAGGTCTCCAGGATCGCGCCCTGGGCCAAAGGCATGGGCCAAACCGCTGCGCCACTCAGGGATCACTCTTTTTTTTTTTTTTTTTAAGGACACTATTTGCAGCAAATAATATGGAAGTAAGTGGAGATGGGGTGGTAGTGAGCAGGTTTCTTTTATTTAGGGTGAGGATGAATATTCAGAAAGTGGAGCTTTGTCATTGCATGTAAAAGTGGGCATAAGGTTGCACAGATGTACTTTGTTTTTGTTTCTTTTTTTATTTTATTTATTTATGATAGTCACAGAGAGAGAGAGAGAGAGAGAGAGAGAGAGAGGCAGAGACACAGGCAGAGGGAGAAGCAGGCTCCATGCACCGGGAGCCTGACATGGGATTCGATCCCGGGTCTCCAGGATTGTGCCCTGGGCCAAAGGCAGGCGCTAAACCGCTGCGCCACCCAGGGAAACATGCCTATAATGTATCTGATGTTACGTTAATGAACTTAACAGTTCATTAACTGTTAAGAGACTGGCAGAGACTTTAACATAATGAAGCAGACCAGGGGATCATGACCTGAGAGGATGGCAGATGCTTCTCCCTCTGCCCTTCCCTGCACTTGTGGGCACTTGGGTGTGCTCTACGAAATAAATCGATCTCAAAAAAACAAACCCCAAACCAAGAAAAACCGCTTTTGTGAATCCTTTGAGAATCAAACGTGTGAAGCAGAAGAGCCCCCTACCCAAAGGATAAATGAGATAACATTATACCATAGTGATCTAAATGATCTCTCATCAGGAATTTACAAGACAATAATACTCTAAATTTGAAGTTCTCAACATGCCCTTTTATTTTTTTTTTTTAAGATTTTGTTTATTTATTTGAGAGAGAGAGAGCACGAGCTGAAGAGGCAGTTGCAGGCTCCTCACTGAGCAGAGAGCCTGATGTGGGGCTCGATCCCAGGACCCCAGGATCATGACTGGAGCCAAAGGCAGACGGTTAACCAACTGAGCCACCTATGTACCCCTTAACATGCAATTTTGACAATCCGCCCCCACCATCAAGATCTAGTGGGGAGAAAGGAGGCATCTGGTGGGTGAAGGCCAGGAATGCTGCTAAACATTCTGCAATGCACAGGACAGCATCCCATCCAAAATGTCAATAATGCCAAGGTTGATAAATCGTATCTTAAAATCCCACTGTTGAAAAAAAAAAAAAAATCCCACCGTTCACCTTTAATGTTAGTGTGTTCACTGGACAGTTATAAGCCAAACCCAAACATGAGGCTTCCCCCTACTGGGAACAATAAATAGAAAGTAGCTGAGAAGCCACAATATTGAAAATATTGCTCAATATTAGTCATCTTTTCCTCTACCCTTTTGGACTTGTGTAGAGCTGGGGTAAATAAATGAAAGAGGAAGTAATTTGCAAACCAGTGGTTTTAAACGCAAATGTTGCAATCTATACACATGTGCCGGCCACTGATGATATGGATTAACAGAGACCTGAAATGATTCTAATTTTGTTTTATAATTTATAGGTTTCAGACAAATGGAATATCATATATTTAACAAAATTAGGGAACTCCAGCAATCTTAAAATTTATTAGAGATGTGGAGTCAAAAAACACTGCATCAGTAAATTCATAACACTGATGGAAAGGAGAGGGGGCTATGTTTACTAGGGGCTCTACCTTCTCCATTTCTAGCTCTAGAAGCATCCACTGGAGTGGAGAAAGTGGTCTGGACCTCAGTCCCAGCTCTGTCCCCTCACTTACTGGGTAACCTAAGATAAGTCACAATCTCCCTACGTTTCTATCTTTATATCTGTTAAACAATTTTTTCTTTTTTTTTTTAAATTTTTATTTATTTATGATAGTCACATAGAATGAGAGAGAGAGAGAGGCAGAGACACAGGCAGAGGGAGAAGCAGGCTCCATGCACCGGGAGCCCGACGTGGGATTCGATCCCGGGTCTCCAGGATCGCGCCCTGGGCCAAAGGCAGGCGCCAAACCGCTGCGCCACCCAGGGATCCCTAAACAATTTTTTCTTCTAGCTAACGTGCATTCTATAATTCTACAAACGTGATATACAAAGAAGCAAGGCCAAAAAAGGCACATACATTTAATCTGTCTTCACTTCAAATTAGGCCTTCCTTTATTTTTATTTTTTTAAAAGATTCTATTCATGAGAGAGACAGAGAGAGGCAGAGACATAGGCAGAGGGAGAAGCAGGCTCCATGCAGGGAGCCTGATGAGGGACTCCATCCTGGGACTTCAGGACCACGCCCTGGGCCGAAGACAGGTGCTAAACCAAGGAGCTACCCAGGGATCCCCTAGGCCTTCCTTTATTTTATTTTTATTTTTATTTAAGATTTTATTTATTTATTCATGAGAGACACAGAGAGGCAGAGACACACACAGGCAGAGGGAGAAGCAGGCTCCATGCAGGGAGCCTGATGTGGGACTCGATCCCAGCCAGGACTCCAGGATCACGCCCTGGGCCAAAGGCAGGTGTTAAACCGCTGAGCCACCCAAGGATCCCTAGGCATTCCTTTATTTTTATTTTTTTTTAAATTTTTATTTATTTATGATAGTCACAGAGAGAGAGAGAGAGAGAGAGAGAGAGAGAGAGAGAGAGAGAGAGAGGCAGAGACACAGGCAGAGGGAGAAGCAGGCTCCATGCACCGGAAGCCCGATGTGGGATTCGATCCCGGGTCTCCAGGATCGCGCCCTGGGCCAAAGGCAGGCGCCAAACCGCTGCGCCACCCAGGGATCCCTAGGCCTTCCTTTAAAACATGTTTTATTCTTTCCTTTCTCAGTTAAGGTTCCCCATGATATTTATTTTTTATATTTTTAAAATACTTTTTTTTTATTTTTAAAATACTTTATTTATTCCTGAGAGACACAGAAAGAGGCAGAGACATAAGCAAAGGGAGAAGCAGGCTCCCCGACTTGATCCCAAGATCACGACATGAGCTGAGGGCAGAAGCTCAACCACTGGGCCACCCAGGTGCCCCTCCCCATGATATTTAATTTTGATTTGTCTCATTAAAAAAAAAAGTTTTTTTAGTTTCAATAGGGAAGGATTGCACCCAATAAAAATAGCTCAAGAATAAACTATTTCATATATATGGCTTCATTCAACCAAAAAGATCAATGTTATTTGGTATGCTTATTCCAAATAATATAGAAATGAATCCTATCACAAGAATTCTGACAAGTAGCAGGGGTATAACTGACTTTATAAAGTGATTTAAGCATTATGGATCAAACAATAAAAATCCAGGATGGAAACAATCATGATTTTTTATCCCTATAAAGGCCGCTTAAAATGCTTAAGACATGGAGGGGCCCCTGGGTAGTGGAGCCAGGTAGTGGATCTGACTCTTGGTTTCTGTTGAGGTCTTGATCTCAGGGTTCTGGAATGGAACCTGGGGACCAACTCTGTGCCCTGTGTGGAGTTTGCTCGGGATTCTCTCTCTCTCTCTCTCTCTTCATCTCCCTAACCCCTCTCCCTCTGCCCCTCTGTTCCTGTTGTCTCTTTAAAATAAATAAAATCTTGAGTAAAATAAAATGCTTAAGGCATGGAGAAACCATTGATTTCTGGAATTAAGCATTTTATTTACCGCACTGGTGCCCACCTGCATACACATACACCCACACACACATTCAGAAGATAAAGAACCAAAACAGGATTTTGAATTATTGGGCATGCCAACACTACAGAGGTAAGTACTATAGAAACAATGAGTGCAATTAAACCTCAGATACCCAAACCATCCACATCGGTTCCTAGCTTCAGTAAAAGACAAAACGACTGAAAACATAAGCAGAAAAAAAAATCACCAGAGGTGTTTCAGATTAGCTCATCTTAATCCTGCTCTAGCCTAGAGATTCTGGGTCAGCTGGGCCTGTAAGGGGCATGGAAGTCTTTTTTTTTTTTTTTTAAATACTCAAAAGACTGATAATCAGTTAAGGTTTCAAAGATGTGGTCTTAAAAAACGTATTCTAATCCCTTTGCACGCATTACGACTAGCCCTCAACTGAGCCTGAGGAACACGGCGCCATCTTCCAAGCTGAGCAAACACGGATGACGCTTCTCCTTTGCACCGGGGGCGGGGGGTGGGGGGTGGAGACCAGAGCCCGCGAGCCGAGGCGGAGCGCTCGCCACAGCATCCCCCGCCGAGCCGGAAGCGGGCGGGCTCACACAGCGGCGGTTACCTTCTCCAAGTGCAGTCGTGACAGGAGCACTGGGCTGCTGGACTGCGGGCTCTTGTTGTACGACGGGCAGTACTTGTCGGGGTCCTTCCACTCGGGGAGCCGCTGCCGGCCCTGCCGGTCCCGGTAGGCACACGCTCGGGCCAGCACGTCCTTAGGCAGGTGGCAGGAGGTGCGCCCGCACATGCTCGCGCGCGGCCCGGCGCGGCCTGCAGACCCGAGCACAGCGGGGACGGTCACCGCCCCGATCCCCCGCGGGGCCCCCTCCGCGGCCCGGCACAGCCTCGCCAGGCCCGGACGCACGGCGGGGAGGCGGCGCGCCCGGAGACGCCGGGGGGCGGTCTGCGGTCACGCCAGGAGCCGCACGCCCCGGCTCCGCGGGACCCTTTCCGGCCTCGGCGTCCCGGCCCCACTCCCCTCCTCCCTGCAGACTCTCCCCTCCGGGCTCCACCGCCGAGACAGGGCACGGCGGGAGGGGGGGGGCTCCCGCCCCAACCTCTGGGACTGCAGCCGCCGCCGCCGCCCGGGGTCCCGCCTTGCCGGCGCAAACTCCACCTGCTCCTCTCCGGCTCGCCTCCTGTCCTCCGCGGCCCGGCCGCCCGCCCCGCCTCCCCTCCCCTCCCGTCCTCCGCGGCCCGCCCGCCTCACCTCACCTCCCGTCCACCGCGGCCCCGCCTGACCTCACCTCCAGTCCCCTCAGCTCGCTCCACGTCCACCTCGGCCGGGTTGCCCGACCGCCTTACCTCGCCCGCCTCACGTCCACCTCCGCCCAACCGCAGGCAACGCTCTCCTGCCGCAAGCTCTCAGTACAATGCCGGCCGGCGATCCGGCGCCAGCCCCGGCCCCGCCCCCAGCGCGGCCGGCCCCGCCCCCGAGGGGCAGCAGGTTCCCGCAGGTTCCCGCAGCGCCCCGTGCCCGCGCTGCAATCTGAATCTTCTTAAAGTACCCCAGGAGGAGGCTACGGCTGGCTTTGGAGGCTGCCGGCTCCCTCCATCTTGGCCCGGCCCCCTGCGAGGTTAAGCCCCGCTTCCCCGGCTCCCCGGCCGGGCCGCAGGAATGGGCTGGCCGAGACCTCCGGTGCGTCCCAGGGAGTGAGGTACCCGTCTGCACAGAGGGAGCCAGAAGTAGTGCACCGGATCCTCGTGGGGATAACAGGAAACCTTCTCTTTACGTCGCAGTGAGGCTAACTGCCTCAATTTTGAGGCAAAAATTGAGAAACCATCAGGAAAACTTCATACTTCACTCTCATACTTCAGTGGGCACCAGAATGCAATTTTCCAGGAAAATTCCCTTCCTTCCCTTCCTAACCCTAAAACTGAATTTTTAAGGGTGAGACCTAGATTTTTTAAAAACAGGCCTTGCAGGTGTATTTCGGGCATGAAATTAGCAAAGCTACTTGGCTTGAGTTTAACAGAAGTTGAGGTGGCCTCTGAGCCTGCTCCCTTGGGACATAAACCAAGGCTTTCTGGTCTTCAGCCAACAGAGTGCTCTCCTTAGAGAGGGGGCTGTTCTTCCCCTGTGTGTTCACAGAATTGGGCTGAATTGGGAGCAGACAAACCCCAGTGCGCATGTTAGAGAACACCCAAATCATCCATCCAAACCCTCTGAGGGCCCCATTCATAACCTAGAGAGGGAGCAATGGTCAGGATAGCAAGAACAGGTGCAACCTCAGTGCCTGCTGTCATCTTCTCCACAAATCTGCGCTGCTCCTGTTCCTGGGGCTTGAATGGAGAGGAGTGGAAGCCGTCTGACCTCAAGTACAGCAGCCAAAAGGCTGTGTGTGTAAAGGGGATAGGTCAGGTGTTCCTGGGATGGGGCTCAGAAGGGGGAAGGGGAAAGTGCAGCCCTTAAGCATGAGTCTGCAGAGTAGCAGCCATTCAATAAATACATGCTGATTTATTTATATGGACAAGATGGTTTTCTTGGGGATAAATTCAAGAGGAGGTGCGAGCATTTTATTCATTTGCGATGTCCTACCCTACAAGAAGGGCAACAGGTTCTAGGACAAGCTAAAATCATCCCCTATTTAAAAAAAGGAAAAAAAGAGTTACCCCCTAGCAGTCCTGCAGGGAAAATTTTTTTTCCCAGTGATTCCTAGTTGTTTTTGAATGCAGAGGCTTGGGAAGGAGTCTCCATTGGAATTCAGGTTGAAGGCATGACTTCTGCGTAGTGTTGAGGGGAAAAGGGTAGGAGCAGGGCCCATGCAGTTTGGCCCCTTAGCCCACAGATGCCAAGATGATGTCTACTGGCAGCTCCTCTGAACTTCTGGCTGTCACCTGCATTGTTACTGTGTCCAAAAGCAGCAGTCTGGAGCGCACCAAGATATCATGACCTCCCCGGAACACACCTAGAGGAAAGAGAGAAGTACAGGTGTGTAAGGAAGAAGCTGCAGAGAGTGGGCTAAGGGTGGGATTTGTAGCAACTCATCAAGGAGGCTGTGATGCAGTGAAACGGGAGTGGGCCTGCAAACGGGAGTTGGGCTGAAATCCCTGAGATTTTATGCAAGTCACTTTACCTCTCTGAGCTACAGTATCCTCAACTATGAAGTAAAGGAGATAATTACACTGTTTTTTAAGCTTCTGCCAGGTGCAAATGAATTAATAAAACATACAAGGCTTTTACCTGGCATCACAGAGGCTCTCATGCATGTTGGCTAAATCTAAGAGCAAAGATGAAGGGACAGCCCCTCCATGACAAAACCGCATCGCAGGTGTCTGCAAGACCCAGGGGACTAGGTTGCTTCAGTGTGGCCAGAAACAACCGCTTGGGGTCTATCAGCTGTGAGCAGGGCACTGAAGCAGAACTGCCTCCCAACCCTGTTTAGAAACACTCAGGAAAAAGGGACGCCTGAGTGGCTCAGTAGTTGAGCGCCTGCCTTTGGCCCAGGGCGTGAACCCAGAGTCCCAAGTCCCGGGATCTCTCTCTGCAGCTCTCATGAATAAATAAATAAAATCTTAAAAAAAGAAACAGGAAAAAAAGAAAATCTCCCATTTCCTTTTGTTGAGTTTTAGGTGTGATAACTGTATTGCCCTCACTCCTTTAAAAAAGGCATTATTATCTCTTAGAGAAATATACAGATATAGAGACATTTACATACAAAATGCTGTATCTGGAATTTTCTTTAAAATAACGGGATGGGATGCCTGGGTGGCTCAGCGGTTGAGTGTCTGTCTGCCTTCGGCTCAAGGCATGATCTCGGGGTCCCAGGATCGAGTCCCATGTCAGGCTCCCTGCATGGAGCCTGCTTCTCCCTCTGCCTGTCTCTGCCTCTGTCTCTCTGTGTCTCTCATGAACAAATAAATAAATTTATTTATTAAAAAAATAATTAAAATAAAATAAAATAAAATAAAATAAATAAAATAAAATAAAATAAAATAAAATAAAATAAAATAAAATAAAATAAACCGGGGATGGGGGATAGAGGGAGTGGTGGTATGGATGCTGTTAAGTTACTGAAACTGGAAGATGAGCATATGAGGGTTCATTATAGTATTCAATTTTTGCGTAAGTTTGAAAATTTCCATGTTGACTTCTTAAAATACCATTCCTATTAAAAAAAGACCCACAAACCCAGTAGAGAATTAGAGAAAGGATATGGAAATAATTCACAGAAAAAGAAATACAAATGGCACACATATTTGGGAAGAATGCTTAACTTCATTCAATATGCAAGAAATATAAAATAAAAACTATAGGGACACCTGGGTGGCTCAGCCGTTGAGCATCTGCCTTTGGCTCAGGATGTGATCCTGGAGACCTGGAATCAAGTCCCACATCGGGCGCCCTGCATGGAGCCTGCTTCTCCCTTGGCCTATATGTCTGCCTTGCTCTGTGTGTCTCTCATGAATAAATAAATAAAATTAAAAAAATAAAATAAAATAAAAACTACACTAAGATACCATTTTCCACCCAGACTGGCAAAGATCATTTGATAATGACCTGATAATATACTCTGTATATTACTGATTACTGTATTATACTGATAACATACTATGTTGTCCACAGTGTGGAAGGAAAGGCATACAGTTCCAATAGAAGGCAACTAGAAATTTTTATCAAAATGAGAAATGCGCTTTGACCTGGTAATGCCTTGGGAAGTTTATCCTATAGATATCCTCAGGGAATACATGCAAAATAAAGTATGTGTGTGTGCATGATTATTCACTGTAGCATTGTTTGTAATAGCAAAAAGCCTGGAACAATCTATATATATATTTTTAGCAATCTATATATTTATCAATGCAGGCTGATTCTATAAAATATGGTACACCCATACAATGGAATATAAGGAAGCTACAAATAAGTATGAAGATTTACTCTGGGATGATAAAAAAGTCCTGGAGAAGAACAGTGCTAATATCTACACAATAATGCAGATATACTTCATGCCACTGGGCTGTATACCTGAGCTTAAAATGGTAAATTTTACATTATGTACATTTCACCACAATTAGAAAAAGAGGAAACTCTATGCATTTTTAAATATATTTTTAATGTAATCTCCACCCCCGATGTGAGGCTCAAACTTAGGACCCTGAGATCAAGAATCACATGCTCTACCGACTGAGCCAGCCAAGCATAGGAAAGACAATATATATACTATTTACACGTAAACATCTGAGTTAAAATAGGAAATTGTGCATGTCAGTGTTCGTATCCATAAAATCACTGTTTAGTTTATAATAGCAATGCTGATCAGTCACCTGTCAGAAAGAAATTAGATGACAGGCAGCAAGGGTTGGAGGATATTTCACTGCTGGGCTTTTTTTACTTTGTGAATTTTCTTTTTTTGTGTTTTTAAAGATTTTATTTATTATACAGAGTAAGAGAAAGCACAAGCAGGGGGAGTGTCAGGCTCCCCACTGAGCAGAGAGACGGACACAGGGCTCCATTCCAGGACCTTAAGATCATGACCTAAGTTGAACGCAGACGCTTAACCGACTGAGCCACCCAGGTGCCCCTTACTTTGTGAATTTTCAATGCTATAAATTTGAATCCCCATGTTCCCAGTGGGAGCCCTCAACCCAGGGCGCAGTAGCATGCAGACTGTAAACTACGTAGGCCCTTCCCACCTAGAAGTGTTGCTTACCAGCCAGGAGCAATGTGTGGGTGTTCTTGTTATCTGGCACTTTGTCTGACCTCTCACAAGGGTGCATTCCCAGGAATTTCACGATATTGCCCACAGCCTCTGTAGGGAGAAATCCCAGCATCATTAAGCCACATCTCATTTCTACCTTTGTGTCACCACAACTCCCCCTCCTCTAAGCCTGCTCTAAGTTGCGCTTTTAAAAATTTTATTTAGTAATCTCTACACCCAACGTGGGGCTCAAACTCATGACCCTGTGATCAAGAGTCACATGCTGTTCTATTGAGCCAGCCAGGCCCTCTCTAAGGGCCTTTTCATGAACTGCCATCTGAAGTATATACTCTCAACATGGCCCTGGGTTCCTGGGGGGCCAAGGCCAGGAGGAGTGAAAGGGGAGGACACCTTTCAATAGCCAAGGACTTTACCTTCAAGCGTCTTGATAGTAGACAAGGTGAATGTTTCCTCCTTCTCAAACTCATCCCCTACCTCATCCCAGGCTGCTTCAAAGTTCAGTTTCATGACCTTTTGGATGTGATCAGCAACAGTGATTTCCAGATCTTCCAGCTGTGGAGATGGAGGTGGAAGTTAGGCATACACCTCCAGGGGAATGGGTTCCTGTTCTGCACACCTGTGGGGCATCTGCTCTGCACTCACTGCTCATCCCTTTCTGCAACGCATTGGGCAAGTGC